GGTAATGATTGAAGATAATTTCGTGCCTGAAATAAAAAACGTTTTAAAAATAAGGGACCGAGTTTACGAATGCAGCAATGCAAATGAACAATTTATACTTTTTCGTTTATAATACACTCGAGATCCTCGGGAGAAGGTGATCCAAGGACACCCAATATATGGTTCAGTTGGTCTAAGTAATGTTTGCCAGGAAATATTGCTCGTCTTGAAAGCATTTCTGCAAGAATGCAACCTACTGACCAGATGTCTATAGACTTAGTATAGCCCTGTGGAAAGGGACAATGAGGTATAATAAACTGTCGCAACCGTTTTAAGCTGAAATTGAATATTTAAGTTATTAATTACTTTCGAATTAAGCATTATTTCCGGCGCTCTGTACCATCTCGTCGCTACGTATTCGGTGAGGAAGCCAGCATGATTATGCTCTGGATCGGCAACTCTGGCTAAACCAAAATCACAGATTTTAAGGTCACATGTGGTATTCAAGAGCAAGTTGCTTGGTTTCAAGTCTCTGTGCAATACGTTCGCCGAATGAATATACTTTAATCCTCGTAGTATTTGGTAAAGAAAATAGCATATATGATCGTTACTAATAGCCTGAAAGTAAAAGAGGAGATATAAATGTATCGTAATCTCTGTTTACTTTAATCCGCAGCATTATCACGCCAACCTGCGTTTTAAGGAGTTTATAGAGATCGGTTTCCATCAGACATTGAACAATATATACATCTTTCATTTGTTCTATAGTAGGTGCCCTTAATATATCTCTTATATCTATTATCTGCAAAAGAGGAAAAAAGTAAATACGACTTGTATCTTATTTGTAGTTGTTACCACGAATAGATAACAAGGCACTCACATTTTCATGCTTAAACCTGGTCAGTATTTTTATTTCCCTTAAAGTTCTTTGACTGTAAGTCTGATGTTCAAAGGGTGAAATTTTTTTAATAGCTACCTTTGTTTTTGTTACATTATCGTAAGCAGATCTGTAAAAAGAAAATTCTAAAATATTTATATAGAATACAAAACCTATACATAGTTTGTTTATTTAAAAATATTGTATCAATTCTTTTAAAGTTATATATTACGAGTGAGTATAAATAAATTAGAAATACTTTTCTTGGGTGGAAAATTATTTCTTTCCACAAACAAGAGAAAATGTGAAATTATGGAACCCATGGGACTGACTGTGATAAAGAATGCTATAATAAATTCACGTAATACTCGGCCCCTAATCAGTAACCACAATGCAGGAAGTAGTTCTTCAATATTACAGAATACGTTCGGTAAATTAAATACGATATAGTCTTAACTATAATCTCGAATGTTACGTATTCGTAAAAAAATATTTGATAAAAAAGAGTGAAACAAATACGAATCAAAAATCACATCGCTCCGATTTCGTCTAAAAAGAATGAAGACCTAGATTTTTCTACTGTCAAAAGAACAACCTATTCTCGCGGAATAATACGAGACAGCATATTTCTCAGGTTCATAAATTGTATGGCACAGAAATTCGTCACGGTATTAAAGTATTTCTGGAAGTAATCGCGATCTCGTTAACGATAAGCTGATAAGACCGATAAGCGAGTGATAAGCAACAAGGAACAAGGAAGTCGTGACGCTGCATGCAAGTGGGCAGGGGGTTCGAAAGGGTGTGACAATCGCGTTTAAAACTGGCGCCAAAAGGCAACGATACATAATGATGAGTAGCGCTTAATAGCGGCTGCACACGATGTCAAGTCACGAGTAAAACGTTCGATACGCGTCGAGGAACGAGAATCTAACCATGGAACGAAGCAATTAGCGTGACAAATTTGTTTCCGATTGTTTATCTTTCGGCCTGTCACCCAGTCGACAGACAGCCCAAAATTCTCAGGTGTAACGAAGTGAATTGACTCGAAGACACTTACACGACCATCCCGTAGGCACCCTCACCCATATACGACAAATTCGTATAACGCGGGCCGACCTCGAATGTTTGTCCGCGAACGACCTCGCAATTTGGATTCACACTTGCAGAACCTTCGCCCGCCATTTTGACAACTATTTTGCGGCTCCGGCGAAGTCGCTAGCCGAGCCTTGCTTCTTTGCCGACTCGCCACGAACGACGCTATAATTAAATGGACTTACGAAGACATATTGCTCGTTAATTTACGAAGTGTCGAAACTTCCTGTTGCTCGCTGCTAGAGGGCCACGGGTAATGGTGGACTCTCTCAAGTTTCTATACAATATACACGAATACAATTTTTATTTGAATAATAAATTAGGAATAAGAACTCTGAATAACGATCTATTTGTATTATTTGAAATATAATTGCAGTGGATGTTTGACAATTGAAAATAACAAGTTCTATGCACGGACATAGGAATATAGGGTATAAGCTGAATCAATGATGGGCAAAACCCTAGGCTTTGAATCAATCTGAAGTTTGCTGATATGTTTGTCTCGTTTCCTCTTTTGAAATTTTCCAAAGGAGGAAACGGGACAAACACATCATCAAACTTCAGATTTATTCAAAACCTAGGGTTTGCCCATCTCTGACTGAACCCGGAGTGAAGCCACGTTCGCCATATTACGTTGCCATTGCAAATTCATGAAACTGTACAGAGTCTATACATCTCTATAGAATCCGTATAGAACTCTATACATCTGTCTAGAGTCTGATAATGTAAGCACATAAGCAAACAATCGAATACAGGCTAATAAGAATATGACTATAGAATATATATGTAAGGTAAAAAAAAGAAATTACACCCTATATATGTAAACGCAATTTTCTTCTAGGAATTAGACTTAGATGTAGACTAAGCGAAAATGTAAAGAAAATAACTTCATCCCTCTCTATGGGAACACAATGTTAATATTAAACAATCTAAAATTTTAAGATATGGAATAGGATATCGATATAAGAAACACATGTGATAAAATTAACAGAAAAGACTGTTTTTATTTTTGTAATATATTATTTTGTTAAAAGATGAGGGGAGAGGTATACTCCCCATAAAGTGACAAGTTTCGGTGGGCAAGAGGGGAGAAACGAGTACCTCGAACGCCATCTTTGGGTATGTGTGAACCATGTAACAAATCCAAAGTAAATAAATAACTAACTAACTGTTAGAGTCTGTAGTCTATGGCTAAACGCCTCTTTCGCAACCTAAACGCAACTTCTAATATCTCTGATTCTTTTTTTTCTCTTTTTTTTGTGGAGGAAATCTGATAACAGAAATCTGCCATCCACTCGGGGTAATGGGTTGGAGGTAGTATAGGGTTATGCCCATTAAAACCTCCACGGCGACCTTCAGACGCGGTGCCACATCTTGCGTTATGGGGGAGTCCCGAGAACTCTTACGGACACAAATTGGGCTCCCCCTAACCTAGGGCGACCATCAAACCTTTGATGGCGGGATCTGATGAACTATGGTACCATAGTTCTCCCCGTCGCTCGATGTCCTACTCGTCGCAGGGGCATTTCTTAACATCTAACATTTTCTAGCAACTCCTAAAAACTCCTAATGCCTTCTAATACAATCTAACATCCCCTAACACTTCCTGACATTTCCTTACACCTCCTAACACCCTCTGACATCTCCTAACCTCCACTAAAATCTCCTAGCATACTCTAACACCACCCAACATCATCCAACATTTCGTAGCATCTCCTAACATCTACTGAAACTTCCTAACTGATACCAAAACCAAAAATTCGGATAGAATAAGATACGTACCATGAACTTCTCGTGCCACCTCCTCGCATATCATATGCTCCTGATACCA